AGTGTTATATAAAACACTTTGACCTACAAAACAAAAATGAATAAAACAATTTATGCTGATTTTTTTTTTTTTTTTTTTTACGACGAATTAGGAAGTCTGTATCAATGAGTACACTCACCAATAAAACAAACAAACAAACAAAAAAATTGTCAACATGAAAGAGGGGGCAGGTGTCGCTCTCGCTTGAGTTTACTCTTTGTTGCATGCGCACTGTGCGTGACGTCCAGAGCGCATGGACATAAAATCAGCAGCGGAGGACGGAGGAGGTGACGGTCGGAGTTTATTTATCGTTTCAGCAGCAGAAGGGAGAGACATGGTTCATGCATGGCTCCCAAAACGACAAGGCAGCCATATTTGTTCATAACTTTATTATTAGGAACGCGCGCGACAAAACGAGTGGTGAAAAAATAAAAAAAAATAACCTACTCCCTGCGGCAAAAAAAGCATGTTTTCTAGGGCCACCCCTGGCATTTCCCCGGCCCCCCCCAGGGGGGCGAGCCCCACTCTTTGAGAAGGAATGCTTTAGTCCCTCCAGGTTGCTGGTGAAGATTCTCAGTCATCCAGGACATGATAAAAAAAAAAAAAAAACGTTCAATACAAAAACAACTGGACTCTATTTGTAACAAGAGGTTTCGCTCCTCATCCAAGGAGCTTTCTGAATTCAAAGAGCAGTGAGTGAGAGATTTAGGTTATAAGGTTGAGTGAGATAAGATACACATACATATGTAGATTTGACAGTTCACACCAACACCTTAACAGTAGGGGTTTCTTAAGTTCTTTGTTCCTCTAATTCACAGATGAGGCCCCTCGGTTCCCATCAGGTGTGAAAACTGACTGGGAATCAGTCTTAAAGTTGCATTATATGTTTTTGAAAGTGGAAATCTGAGGCCTCCTCTTCGGTTAAGAGATGGTTTTTCTCTTTTAACATAAATTGCTTCCTTCACCCCCTCTCAAACCATCTGTGTCCCTCCAGGTTGAAGTTCAAAGACTAACTCAGACTGGTTTGTACTTGGAATGCTATGGAGAAACAGACTTACTTCAGAGATGTGGTCCTTAGGCCTGTCGGGATAAACATTAAATCAAATAATCGCATGATGAATGAAATTATCGACCTCATGTTCATTTACCGGCTTTATCATTTGTTAGTGTCTCTCTCTCTTTCTACTGAAGACATTGGATGACAAAAGGTTAAACTCCATTGCTCTTTGACCCCTCCCTTTCTCTTTAAAATCTGTTTTAACCATCCAAGATCGCATTTTTGGATCGTTCAAAGCAGCTAATCTGAGAAGCTTAGCTCATAGCTTAGCTTAACAGGCCGACCTCGGGAATAAACCTCCATCTTGTCATGCTCCAAAATTCATGGTTGAAACCCGTGCCTTCATGTAATTTTTTTTTCTTGCAAAATGACGCTGAGAACTTAACTGATTTTTTTTTTTAATTAAAAGCTTTGTGTGAAAAATGCTATGCTAAAGAGCTCAAATCACAGAGTGTCCGCCATTTCACCATGTCAGTCCATGTAACGTCAAGGGCCCTCCCTCCCATTTTTCTTAAAGGGACACACTGCTCAACTTTCCATCCTTTGGTTCAAACAGTCTTATACTGCCAGATACTACACTCCAAACAAATAAACATTTCCTCTAAAATTTGACAATTATTGCTAAATTTCAAACAATATTATCGTTTATCGCAATTATTTCTGAGACAATTAATCGCCCAGCAAAATTTGTCATCATGACGGGCCTAGTGGTCCTTCTCTTGGGAGAGACGTTCCTCTTGTTGGGGTCATTCTGGCTGTAGTTTGTAGGACATGTTAGCACAGAGTTAGAAATGGAGCAGGTGACGGTACGTTGGCATGTTTAAAACAGAAGTGGTGCGTATCCTACTCAAGATATTGGAAAACAGAGACTGATGTGGTTGAGCTTTAAGTTATAAGAGCAGTGAGTTTTACGCCTAGAATAACGCCAGGAGCCACTTTAACTAACTTATTGTCCCTTTGAATGTCACCTGTGTCATACAGCATGTCTCTTCTTTCTTTATATGTTTGGTCTTGCAGTAAGATCCTGAGAAAGAAGGACGACTCCATTAGCACTCAGCAAACCAACAGCCTTCCCAGGCACAAGATGATCAAAGCAACGTGCCAGCAGGCCGAATTCCCAACATCGTGCGAACAACCTGGACAGGTGAACGTTCAAATCCTCTGCAAAAAACAACTTTGCTATTACATCTACAGAAAATCAAGTCGGTTCTTTGCTAATGGTGACCTCTGCTAATGAAACAGCCAGTTCTGAATGCATCGCTTGGTTTAAAATTGGTCTCCATTGCGCCGTTTTGTGGTCCATTAATTTGTGGGTACATTTCCTTTTCATCCCTGCCCATTAATTTTCTGGCAGACCAGCAGCCAGATGCTACAGTTTGTGGCCTTGGAGCAGACAGGCCAGTGCGATACAAATTGTTACAAATTTCAGGTAGTGTTAAATGACAGGCAGAGTTTGAGGGTCTTGACTAATCCAATCCAGATCCACTTTATGACCGCATAAACGTGTGTATGCAACAATCACTTATTAGAGGCAGCAACGGGACAAGTTGGGTTGAGCTCAGGAGAGCGTGCAGGGATGTGCGTGCAGAGTTTCAGCTGGATGTAATAAACCTGGGTTTGACTCAGGTCTTGCAGTGCTTTGCCACTTGTGCCTCATGTTGCATTATCATTCTGACAAACTAAAAACAGCAAGAGTTGATCTGGAATGCAAACCCACATGGTTCTCGAGTAACATTTGTTGGAAGCCACCTAAGGGTTTCAGTCAAAGGTACTTTTTTTAAGCTCTCTTTCTTAGGTGTGTTTCTTCTGTCCTAATGGGTTACAACACTCTGTGTGTGGATCAAGAAAGACAAAGAATGGATGATTTATTTTCATCCTGTAGGTACAATCCATGCCTCTTTTACCTCTTGTCTGACGCTGGTAAATGGTCTACTGGTCCTGTAAGATTGTAAGAAACCGGATCTGCCGTACGCCTCTTTGTTTGGACGCTTGTTCCCACACTTGGTGCTGATCTCTTTCCACTATGCCCTGCAGATATGTGTATTCAGTCACAGCAATTAGTCTGAAAACGTTCTTTTTCCAGGAGGAATGTGCGTTAGGAAGGATGTTTAGACAACAGGGCAAATCTCTCCCCATTTCAGCTTTGTCTGTGCTATGATCCGTTCTGCTTTGGCTTTGTCGTGCAGAAATGGCGCTGTGTGGAGGAGATCTCAGGGAAGTGGAGGTTACAGAAGTGTAAAAGTGGATCCAAGGATGGCTCCAGGAAGAGGACTCACAGTCTGAAGCCCCGCAGCAGCTACGACAACAGAGAGAAGGAGTGCGACTGCGAGGACTCGCTGTACAAACCGTCTAAAGCCGATCGACGCTCCCACCGGCAGTTGTCCTCATCGGGCCAGCGTGAGTTTACTGTAACTGTATTTTTTATATAGTGCTGTAAATGACATAAACATGGCATCAAAATTATCCAGAACTGGTTTTTTATGTGTTTATTAGTGTAAGAAATCTCACTGTTTCTGATTTTTCCCTTGTGTAATGCTGTTTCTAATGTCCGTTTCAGTTCTGCTTGAAGAAAAAAGTGTATTAAACCTGCGACTTGTCTTTTTTTTTTTTTGTCACTTAATTGATTATTTATGGCATGAAAGCAGTCAGATGTGTGTATAAAGCACACACTCATCAGGTCAAGCTGTTTGTTAATGGAGTGCGTTTAGGTCAAAACTGTATTTTTAGGTTAAGTGGCTCCCTCTATTGCTGCTTTGGCAAAGTGTCACTGAGCATTATGTACTAATTTTATTGATGTTACTATGTGGAGGTTTGCCACCTTGGACGTCAACGCTTTAGACAAAGTGCACTGAGTATTTGTTATAAATGACTCTCAGCTGCTACCACACCAACTTTCAGCCCAATATCTGTGAAACTGACTGAATTGTAGCCATTTGTGTGTTTGCAGAAGTTGGTTAGTTATGGTGGCCATCTTGAATCTGGTTGACTCCAAACGGAAAACGGTTTTCAATGAACATGTGATCATTACTTTTTTGAGAGTTTTGCTCAAATCTGTCCAATAGATTGAGATATTTTACTAACAGACAAGCACAAACAAACACACACGCAATTACACAATTGCCCAGTTCTTTTGGTTGTGGGTAAAAAAATTAATAGCTGCTTGTCACATAAACATAAAATTCGTTCCAGTTTTTGTTTTTAGTCGATGCTGCTCAGTTGGTGTTTTTTGTGTCCTTACAGGTTTCCGCCCTCGTTTCGTCCACACGCGGCCTGCCAGATCGCTGTCCGTGGAGTTCGAGGGCCAGATATACGACATCGACCTGCAAGCAGACGACCAGTCAGCCATCCGCCGCCGCGTCATCTCCAAACGCCACTACAAACCCGAGGATTCCGACTTCAGCTTTGGTTCTAACGACGGCTCTGAGGAAATGCTGGCAGATGACACCAACACGGTGGGATACCCCAACTCCCTGAAGGTCACCCACAAGTAAGAAAATCTTTCTGTTTGGAAGAATCTCAGGAGACCACTCAATATAGCAAACTTTATTTTTGTCTGTAGTAGAGCCCGACTGATATGGAAATTTTGGCTATCGTCAATACCGATATTGGGAGGGGAAGGCAAATGCCGATAACTGATATGTTGGCTGAAAATATTTTAGCTTTGTCCACCTGCAAAAATCCAAATAAACAGCAAATGGTGCAGGGCTTTTTTATTTAGCGCTGCTGTTGGCAACCATGAAGCTAAGCAAATCAAATCCATGCTATAGAGCCACACAGGCTTACAAGTGGTGCACTGGTCATAAAAACTGTCGTCCTAAAATGCGTTCACATTTTCTGTCCTCCACTATTCACCATTAAGATGTCAAGTGCGTTAGAAAAATATAAATTAAACAAAGAAACATCTTTCCCTGTTCATTGCTTAAACAGCCACATATGGTGAAGGTCTATGGGGTGCCGTTTGTAAAGTTGCACAGTCAAAAATTAGCATAAATATTGTGGTTTATTTAGCTTTTAAAAGTCATATTTTCACCATGTTATTCATACATTTGTAAATGTCATAGTTTTCAACTAAATATTTAATTTACAAGATAAATATTTAGTTTACAAATTAAATACTTAACTAGCAAGTTAAATATTTAGTTGGTAAACTAAATATTTTGGTATGAATTAAATATTTAATTTACACCTAAATATTTAGTTTATAATTGCTAAGCTAAATATTTAATTTCTAAACTAAATATTTACCCCCCGGGCACTTTCAATAGCTGCCCACTGCACCACCTGGTGGTGGATGGGTTAAATGCAGAGACTAATTTCGCCATTGTATGGAAACATACAGTGCTGACATTGTGATGACATTATTATTATTATTATTATTATTATTATTATTATTATTATTATTATTATTATT